AGGGTGTAAAGTTTAGGGTTTAGGGGTTTAGGGTTTAGGGTTTTAGGTTTAGGGTTTGGGGCTTAACCCTAAACCCTAAACCCTAAACCCTAAACCCTTAGGGGTTTTGGGGGGCCATGGGCCTTGACGTGCCCAGGATGCCGGATGAGCATCGGCACCGAGCCTGCAGAGGCTGAGGTTCCCAGGCTTCGAGGCTTCATATCGGACCCTAGTGTAGGCGGTTTAGGGTTTAGGGTTTTGGGCTTAGGGTTTAGGGTTTAGGGTAGGGGCCTTCATAAATTAGAATAGCCTTCCTTTTAAGGGTTCCTTTAAAGGGTTTCATATCGGACCCTAGTGTAGGGGCCTTCATATATTAGGGCTTCCTCTGAGGGTTCCTATAAAGCCTATATAGGAACCCGCGAAGGAATTCCTAAAAGAAAAAACCCTTAAAGGATCCCTTAAAAGAACCCCTAAAGGCCACTTGGAGGCCCAGGGGACTTAGTAAGTCGGTTAGAAGTGGGGTTATACTTGGGGCAACTCCATTTAGGGTACTTATAACTCTACTTATAACCTACTTACTAAGTCCCTTGGACCTCTAAGTAGGGGCCTTCATATATTAGAATAGGCTTCCTCTGAGGGTTCCTTTAAGGGGTTCCATAAGGGCTACACTAAGGGTTTAGGGTGTAGTGGCCTTAAATAATTAGAATAGGGTTCCTCAAAGGGTTACTTTAAAGGGTTCCATAAGGGCTACAATAAGGGTTTAGGGTGTAGGGCCTTAAATAATTAGAACAGCCTTCCTTTCAAGGGTTCCTTTAAAGGCCTTAATAATTAGAATAAGGCTTTGGGGTATAATATATTAATTACACAAAAACAAGGACCCCCCCCCAAACAAAAACAGTGTAGGTAATTATTAAGGCCCCTCTATTGCCTTAACTTGCCACGACTTACTGTTTTGAGTAGGATCCCCATAAGCTCCATCTTAGGGTTTATGTAGAAATAGCAAGAACCGACAACAAAAACATCAGCTTACTGTAGTTTAAGGTGGGCGCTATAGAATCTTTTAACTCTGAAACCCCAAAATCCTAATCGGTAAAAACCTTAAACCGTTATAAACCCAAACCCCCGGAAGTCCTAAAGCCGAAGAGCGCATGAAGGGTGGTTTTAACTAGTCTGAAGTCGAGGGTTGTCAACCTTGCTACGGGCATGCTCATTCAAAACAGTTGTGCCCATGATCGTGTCTCAGGTTCGGGATTTACAGTTTAAGGATCATGGTGCTTTGCACATTAAGCATCGTTTTGACGGTGATATCTCCGGGTATCAGCACTCTCACCTTGATTACCATATAGGTGTCACTACCTGAATAAATATCATGCATGGAAATAATCTTGCGACAAGAAATGCAAAACGATGTACGTCGCTACTATCGGCTGCTACCATGCCAGTATCATCAGACTCCTGCTGCAATTTCCCATGGCACCCCTGTATTACAGACCCTGCCCTACACACACACGCACACACTCCGCGCGCCCGAACTCGCCAACCACTCACCATCACGCGCTACAAACATCAATCTAGAGCTAGAGCTGCACACAACCTGCAGAAGCAACAACAACCAAGGACGCTCGCAACGCAAATGCTAAACCCGCTAACCGAACGGACCCCTCCAAGGAATCGTGCAAAATGGGTCCCAACCCAACGGACCCCGCCAAGAAACCCTGCCAAAAATGAGCCCTGACAAAAAATTCAACACCCCACCCGTCATGTGGGCGACATTCGCCCCGACATCTAGCAGGCACTGAAGCAGGCTCGGATCCTTCAGTGCATACGGCGTGGGGCCTTAATAATTAGAATAGGGTTTTGGGGTTCCTTTGTAGTAGAATTATAAGGAACCCCCCACAAGACTGTTGGTAGTTATTGAGGCCCGTACATTAAGGCGTGGGGTTTTGGGTACGGGCTTTGGGTTTGAGGGTTTCGGGTTGAATTTGGCAAGACGTGGGCTGAAAGCTTGCAGTAACTTAAAACAGGGGCCTTAAGAATTGGAATAGGGTTTTGGGACCCAGTATAATCAGGAGCCCCCAAAATAGTATTGGTAATTATCTAGGCCCCTGTATTATTTGTTCCGTATCCTAGAGGAACAGAGGTTAACCTTTGGGATTATAGTGGGCTCCACTGCCACGGGAGGCTTTCTGGGTTTCGGTTTCCCTAAGGCTCCATGTACCCATATAGTAGATACTTAGGCCTTAAAGTACCTATATAGGGACCCCTTTAAGGCCTAAGTATCTACTATAAAGGTACATGGAGCCTTTGGGTTTAGG